CCATGTCTGAGCTTGAAAGCGATGATAAACATAAAAAAATAAGTTTATGCATGATTTAACCACCCAGCTTATTTCTATCGATTCGCGTGACTCTCTATTCAACAGACCACACATATGTATGTATTCTTTCTCAACAGTATCCTCAATTATTTCACGTAATCCTCGTACATATTTTTTTTTTTATTTTTTCTTCATCTTCCGTTCAACAATTTTTCCAGATTACCAAATTCCCAACTCAACTCCTGTAGGTAACTCGCAATGTCGTTCCCCAGCATCGCTTTCGCTGCATTATTAATCCGCCCCTCTTCACGGCGCATAAATATCCAATGAGACTGCAACAGAATCGAGCAGAGACCGTCTCTCGCGTTGCGTATACGCGCGAAAGTCGACCGTTAATATCACGGTGTGATGTGTACATTATCCACTCGATTCGATCGATTTTCCTGATATTCTGGAGCCCCGCTCAATTTTTATCCCTCCAAGTTTCCATGTCGGGGGGTGGGAGAGAGATAAAACGTGTCTAGTCTTGGAGGCACGATCCGAGAAGGGCGCCGCTAACCATGTTAAAACAACCTTCCTGCGAAGCAAGGCAAAAAACCTCTCGTACTCACAGTTAAATTCAATCTCAAGAAAATGAGTACGCAGGTCTGAAATGAAATATGGGTATGAAAAAAGTCCACCCGCGCGCGGGACTCCGTGGAAATCGATGACTCGGCCCGTGTAGCTCCGCATGTGTCCCGACTCGCGTTGCACGCGCGATCATTAATAACTCCTACCTTCCGAGACTCATGCGAGAGTAGCTTGCGGGGTCACGAGATGATCCGTATACGAACAGCAGGGGAGATATACCGCAGGGTGCGTTCAAGGACAGACCGGGGGAGTGGTGCTGGAGACTCGCAGTACCAGACACTCGATGTAGCTTGAGCGAGAAAACGGGTATTTCTTTGTGCACATACGCTTGCCGTTTCGAGATTGATGACTTTGCGCGGATGAAATTGACCTCAGAATTGAATTGTGGCTTGATCACGGGGCGAAGCTGCGTGCGCTCGTGTCTTACCGTAATCTACTTGTACTACTTGCACGATAGTTTCTTTGATTTCGCAACCACCGCGATGACGCGAGGATATTCAAAACATTTGTACGTGTGATTTAAAATTGCTAAGCCTCTCCCATCGATCCTCGTCTGAAATCAATTACATTGAACGTATTGAAGCTTGAGCTCCGTTGTTTCCACAATATATTTCAAAAAAAAAGGAGGAAAAAAAAAAGTAGAAACTGATTAAGTATAAACAATTTTCAGACTCTTTGTCGAAACTTGGAGGGAAAGTATAGACTTTGCTCGATTGACGTACAACTTTTTGATACAATAGCAAACGCAGAATAGCTTTTTTCAACTCCCGAGAAAAAAATTCACATCTCTGTGCGTCAAAAAGTACAGAATAAAAAAAAAGTCCCAAAGGTTCATGCTCCGTTCAAGTCGTGGATTACCAGACGCGGTACATCCATCGAATGGGGCTGCGTTGCGTAGAAATAACGGAAAAAAAAGAGTTTCACGCAAACCGAGTCCAGGATTGTGGGTAGGCGCCCAGGAGAGGAGGGTTGACACGCGGATGTACGTTCCGGAAAAGTTAGAGAGACGCCCACGCGAGAATCGGGGATTAATTCCCTCTCGCCATACGCAGTAGCGTCGGCACTCCTCTCCCATTCGTCACGCGTGTGCGCGTGTCCGACCACTTACGGACTTTTTCTACTGAATGGAGCTCCACCGCCCAGGGGAGTATATGGCTTTCTCCTCGTGGATTATCAATGAAGCGCCACGGTTACGTTATTATTGTTATTATCGTAGTTTTTCTCCTTTGACGAGTTGGCCCGAACTATGCTGTTGGGAGAGCAAACCGACGAGGTCAGTACAAAGTCCAAGGGAAAGCTGAACTAAGGGCCAAACTGGCTGTTGTTACGCGAAAGAAGGGATAGGCCTAGCCAATCAAAGACTCTGGGGGTTGGAGGGGGGGTTGAGAGTAAGATTCTGTCCTCCTTTCGGATACAGCTACACTGCGGTGACTCTCTTACTTATCCCCCTCATTATCGATTTCTCTTTTCTTCTTCTTCTGGCTCCACTTTTTTTCTTCTTCTGGTGCAGGATATCGCGATGACTGGCCGAGATGAGCTACTTAGTTATATATACGCTGTTAGCTATCGAGATGCTGCTCAATTATGATATTAGAGCATGGAGGAAGGGGGGATACACGTGACAAATAAGTCTTTTGCCTTAAAAGTAAACCTGTTTTTTTTCCTTTCTTTAAAAATGATAAAGCTGCTGCGTTGCGTTACACCGGCTCCGAAAAGTATGTTTTTTAATCAGCTTACTTTGTTCATGATGCCTTTGATGAAGTTGATCGAAATCCGTCATGTTGAAGCTTTTTTTTCCGAAATCCCAAAAGGAAGCAAAACTCGGGAGAAAATTTTGTCACACGAAACTCATTTGCATGGCCAGCGCGTCTGCGATGGGGACCCAGGAAACTTTGCGGATTAAAACTCCACTCCGGCCATATATATATATATATATATATATATATATATATATATGCACGTAGTGAAATATGGTACCCACACTTTGGGTAAACTTGGAGGCGAGTGCGTGTCTCACATTTTGGTACTTATAAGGCCGTAATTGCCAGTTCTATCTTGGAGGGGTATCAGTCGAAGTGCCATATAGAGTGATACGATGCTATGGGTATCAATTAAAAAGGATAAATTTTACAAAAATACACTCGACCGAGGATCGAGGGCGAAACCCCATAGCTGGGTGTATGGATCGAAAAACGAAGCTACAGAGGAAAAAAGGAAAAGTGTACGTTCCGACGCAAGCGCGGATCTCGTAGACATCAGACTCCGCGTAAGAGCAGGGCTCCTCCAGCCGTTCCGATCCTCCTTCATGCGTACATGGCATTAATGCGCTCCGCACGCACACGCAGCTCTTTTTTTTTGTTTTCCCCTCTCGAACGTCTTGACGTCAGAGCACTCGTTTCCTATACCCCGTACTATTTGTAGATGCAGGACAACGGAGCCTTTTTTTTTTTTTTTTTTTTTATAAATCACGTGCACGAGATACCGCAGGTTCAACATTAATATCGGGGGCTAGCTCGCGTCACTTTGACGAGCAGTTATCGTCAATGGGACAAAGTAGAAATAAACGTAGCTTTTCCGCTGAATTACTTTCAGTCCGAATTCTCTGTACCCTCTACGAATCAGCTTGCGTTTCGCTCGTGCAGTTGCCTTATTTTTTTGCCACTATCGAGTTATTTTCGTAATGGAAACGATACTCACACTTTAAATTGTTCAATGTGAAAAATCATCGGCAGTGTTTTCATGGATGGAAATTGAACGAATACTCGATTGTTATTTCTAGAAAGAAGAAAAAAAAAAAAAAAAAATTACAGTATACAAGTCGAAGACTTATTAAATAAAAAAATTATTTTAACGAAACCTTCAAAATATGGACTAAAAAAAAAAAATTACAGTACTCCAGTCGAAGACTTATTAAATAAAAAAATTATTTTAACGAAACCTTCAAAATATGGACTGAAAATAAAAATTTAGCTTTATTAGAGTATCAAAGACTGTTGAATGTTACTGTGATGTTGGTAAGTGTTTTTGTAAGTGAAACACAACCATGACTATGCTGTAGTTTTAATAGTGTTGTAGTACAAAATGATGTTGTTACGAAGATAATTGAGATAAAATGCTCGAGTTCTTGTGAAAAAAAACCAAATATTGATTTGGTAAATAACAATTGCAATGTTAACTATTTAATTAAAAGCAATGGCAATGAAGAATTAGTATCAACTTCGAAGTATTTTACCCAGTGCCAAGTACAAATGTATTTGACAGGGTTAACTGTATGTGACTTATTTGAATTTTTACCTCTTGGAAGTGTTTTAGTCGAAGTTTATCGAGATGGTAAGTTTCTAAATGATGTAAAACCCAATGGTTGACATTTTTATAAAAATTAATTTACAAAAAGTCAGGTTCAAAAGGCAGATAATCAAAAATTCCATGTGAATAAAGGAGAAGATTCTGCTAGTCAGAACTAAGACAGAAAAAAGTGAGACAAACTATGTTGGTCTTCAGGATTAAAAAAGTTTCTATTACACAAGGAGAAACAGAGAAAAAGTCAACAAGTAAACGTCAGAGGTGCTAAAAAAACAGAAAGTAAAGAATATTTCAAGAAAGAAAGACTGAGCCAAGAAAAAACTAAGTAAGCTGAAAATTGACATTTTAAGGTTGGAGGAAGAGTTGATAAAAACGATAAGAGAGATAGATAGATAGAATAAGTTTATTAAGGCTTTGGGGTCATACCCCATATAGCCCTGAATATGCAAATACAATTTGATTAACAATTTATAAAATATATACAAAAGTATTAACAAGAATAATGTAATTTTCATATAATAAATCACTTGATAAGTAACGCAATTTAACAGCTAGAGTTACATGGTATACTGACTAGTATTATAACTTATATTNTGGCTCTCCTCCCCATACCGCGTAACGGAGCGAAAACCCCGTGGAACCCACCACTCGCTCACACACAAGCCGGGGAGTAGGGGAGGGGGAGTACGAGCACCACGGAGTATACAAGCTCCGATCGGTTGAAAGAAAAATATATGCAAGCTCCCGTATGTATGGGGCGGGGGGTTGTAGTTGGGTTGGCTACCGGTGGCGCTGGCGTTGAGGGTCGGTCGTATCCCCCGCCAGATAGGGTGGCGGTAGAGAGAAGTGCCGAGTGTTTATCGATTCTCTGGGGCAGAGAGAGAGAGACGGTACAGTATTGTGGTGCCTAGCAGCCATGTTTTCCCCCCTCCCGCGGAAACACGGTCAGGCGCACTGTTCGCCGCTGCTGAGCCACCTTTTTCTCTCTCTCTCTCTTTCACCCTCGTCGATCTGGTAACGTAAGGGGGTAAGTAAGGGGAAAAAGACGGGGAGACTCGGAGGTGCTCGCGCCGTGGATGGATTTTCCCCGAGCAACTGTAGCCTCCTCCTCCTCTCTCCACCTTCCGAACGCTGTACGTGCGGGGTTGTAGGCGCGGGGGTGTGCGCGCGCGGGAGTGCTGTCATTGTCTTTGTCGTCGCGGTGCCTAGGACCATATACATCTCGGCGGTCCCCGATGCGTGCGTGCGTCCTGCGTGCCGTCCTGTAGCCTGCGAAGACGCTCCATGTCTCCCGTGATGCGTACAACGTCCCTGTAACGCTGTATACCGTGTGTTGCCGAGAGAGAGAGAGAGAGAGAGAGCGACGCCAGTAGCGTCAGGACGTCGAGGGACAGAAGACTAGTGTGTTCCAGTATAGTCCCGTGGAGAGGTGCGCGAGGGCGTGTGCCGCAATGTGCCCAACGCGGATCGTCTGAGTAGTCCTTTGCTCTCGTCGGGCGAGCTTTTTCCCCCCTCCCCCCGGGTGGTGGTGGTGGTGGTTCGCTGTGGTGCTCCGGGACTACCCCGCGACTCCGAGCTTCCAAAGGATCGTCGGACAGTGCGCGACGTATAGTGCCCCCTAGGGTTGTCACTGAGGGGCTATAGTGTGTGCAGAAGGGCCCGAACTCGATACAACCACACGGAAGCGAACCAAGACGAGGGAAACACTATTGTGTCTTGTGCATCGTGTATACTGCCACTGCTGCGCACCAGGAGTAACTGCAGCTACGGAGATTCTGCAGCTGCGTAGATAGCGCGTACCCACGTTATCGCGTACCTTATTCATTACTCGTGAGTAGCCTCCACCAGATTATGTACTATTACTTTGCGCGAGTGATTACGATTAACTAGGTGTGTGTGGTGCTTTGGCTTCGTGGGGGAAAAGAGGTTTCGAGAGGAGCGCGGAGCAAGGCAAGTAGAAAGAGCCGTGTACGGTCAGACACGCGACTCGTCGCCCCACAATGGACGCCAAAAATTAGTCGACCTTCTTTTTCTTGTTTAATTTTTTTCTCTTTCTTTTTTTTTCCGTTCATCCCCGCGAAAACATCGCGTGCGGTGCCAGGAGAGTTCGTCGTGGTGTGCGCGCGCGCGCAAGTGTGAGAGAGCAGCCACGGCTTCGCGGCGAAGGCGCGTGACCTCGAAAACGCGCGAGGTGGCCGAGCCAGCGCTTTTTTCTTCCCCTCTATTTCCTCCTCCAATAAGGCAGCCTCATCCCCTTTCGTAGGCGCTCGATCGATTCCATCGAGGATTCGATTACGCCGACATAGTCCGAGGAGGTAGTGGAAATTTGAACACTCCTCTCGAGTACGGCCCGCGCCCTCTTCTCTTCGGATCGATCGCGATTTTCGGTGCAGAGCCCGTGCGCGTGTTTTTTTCATTCCACCTTCGGCTCGCGCATACGCGGAAGCTTGCCGCACGCGAGTCATTAGTCTTGGCACAACGTGTGATATGCCCATCCGCGTATATGATATTATACACAGTCAAGGAAATCTTGGGGGAAAGGGTGAGCCTTGCAAGCTCTCCACCGGGAGTGTGCAGGTTCTTACTTTGCGAGGTCAAGTGTGTTTCCACTTTTGGACGCAAGACGACCCTAATTGAGTTTCATCCCTCTTTTCTTTTTTTTTCATATGTGACCATCTCCCGGTTGTACGTTGTCCGGAGCAGTTCCGTCGGAGTACGCGCGCGACCTCGTGTCTCGTGTGTCTCCTCGGTGACGTTGGAAAATCGATGTGCGTCGTCGGGAGAATCGTCACGAGTAGGTAAATAGAAAATTGCGGACGCGAGCTGCGCGCGTTCAATGGTATACACACGTAAGCGTACACGGCTTTGATACTCCTTCCCCCCCCCTCCCTCGGCGTGTATATACACTTACGGAGAGTTGGTTTTTATTTGGTGCGTTTGGTGTATACCTCGTTACGGCAGATAAGATCGACAATAGCGTGTGTGTGTGTGTGTGTATTGTAACGCGAGGCGTCGTCGGCGCGTGATGGTCTCTGCACTTATTGGGGGGCGTTGTCCTTGACTTTAATACGTAATCGATAACTAATCGGCGCTACGAGGAAAAGTTGATCAATAGCGTCCACCTACGGTTTGTGTGTTGGCGTGAGTGTTTTGCAGGGGGACATCCGTCGCTCTGGTGGTGGTTGAGACTTGAGTTGTTGGGTGCTTTGTTGCGTTTTTTAAGTGCAAAGAAAAAAAAAAAAAAAAAATTACAGTATACAACCTAAACAGCCATCAAGAGCTTGCAGCCTCCAGTAACCCAAAGAAAGCGCCAAAGAAGTGAATTACAGGGAAGTTGGCAAACAAATTACACGCCACGTTCGCCCTCTTCTTTGAATTACTAAACCAACCACGAGCTTTTGCCCACAAACGGAATTTAAAGCGTACGCGTTGGCTGTAGACGCATTTATCTACCCCCACCAAGTTTTCTTTGCTCTAGTCGCATGCAAATCGCCGTCGCGACTCCTACGAAGGATAAATAAACGAGTTTTTCCCGGGAAAGTCGTCGACAAGGGCGCTATGGCTTATCGATAATGAATTCACGTGCACGCGTGATCGATCGGTCCATTGGGAAATTTTTTTGCACGGCAGAGCGCACCTGCACCCGCTCTCGCGGTGTAATTTAAAATAATGCAAGTGACCGCGACAATTAACGCGTCAGTCGTAAGCTTATCAGGCCCATCGAACGACCAAATGCTCAGAGAGTCGCGTGCGTGGGCTCCGCGGTAATGACGTTGCACTTACACGCGATACCTTTTTTTTCTCGCCTGGGAACGGGACTTTTACTTTTCTAGTAACGTAGGTATAAGCTACAAACTCGTTTGCAGGGCTGGGGTGGATGGTAATGCAAACAAATGTCATTTAACTACCGATAATTGCAAAAAAAAATGGCACTTAAACGAGAACCTGCTCTCCCTTTGAAAATATCTCTTCCGTCCACCAATGAAGGTACGAATGTACCGGACCCAAAGTACGTGGTTTGGACCTTATTTGGTGAGCCACGCTCTCATCCATCAAAATTAATTTAACATCGCGCCACATGGGAGCTGTCTCGTAAATTTTAATAACGTCGGTGTACAAGGGATAATAATTAAACCATCATCAAAAGTTTGGAAAAAACACGTGAACCGCGTGAGCTTCCAGCTTCATCAAAACACCGCTCAACTATGCAAAATCCCCAACCACGGGCTCCCGCGGAGAGTTACGCGAAAAATTCCTCCCTGCCCCTCCCCGAGGATTTATTAGCAGGAGGCTGGCGAGCCTCTCTTCGTGACCCACTAGCTGCACCTTATTATGCAAATCTGAGTGGTGATTTTTTTTTTTTCTTTTTTTTTTCAAACGACCATAGCATCGTGAAAAACGATACACGGAAGGGGCCAATGAAAGCTCAACGAGCCTTGCAGGTTTTACTGAATAAAAGCACTCGGTGAATAATATGTACAACTCGATAAGTTGAAACTCGTAAAAGACTTTCGGTCAATAGTTAATGTGATAATGTGCAAGGTCCCCATCACTATATTATGAATAATTCTTCGTGAGTACAGGACTCAATATTGACAATCCGATTCCAGATGCGTAAACTAAAAGCAAACACATTTTGCCCTCATCTATTTGTGTTACGCGCCAATGGCCTACAACAAAACTGGTACTCCTTTTTCGGTCTGTCTGTCGCGTGCAAACGGAATACCAAAACTTTCCGTCCCTCTTGGCCTGTTTTACTGAACTCCACACCCCTTGTGCCCGAAAGAAAAAAAAATGGAAAAAAAAAAGATCGCCGAGCGCATTACGCCGCTTCCATACCCCGGCTTCTCTGCAAACTCTCGCGCCCCTGTTTACCTTTCCTGCCTCTTTCGTACCCATATATATATATATGTGTGATATACACTGCAGCTCTTGCCTACTTTTCCAGTCTCTCTCGTTCGGCGTCCCCATGCTGCTCCCAACGGTATTCATCGCTCTCTTGCACTCCCCGTTAAATCTAGTCCATCCTCTCGCGTGCATATGTGCAAAGTACAAACGTGAATCCATCGTTGTTACGTATCCCCTCGAGCCAAGCTCTCGAATCTCAACGAATAGCGAAAATCATCTAAATCGGAGTATATATGATGTGCCTCGCTCTCTTCGCTTATGTTCCGTCGTTTCGACTATAGCCGCTGGGTCGTGTGTTTTTGAGACGAAGTGTACCTACGTGAGAAAGAGGATCGAGTCAAACTCGATTTTTCGGTACATCGTTTGCCCCAATGGAGCTTCCGGAGTCACGCGATTGATTTACAACTGCCACGTGTGACCAGAGACTCGTGAGAGACTCCTTGAGAGTTTTCTTTTAAAAACGCGAATACAAATCTTTCAGCTCAGGATCTTCGTATTGTTCTTTGGATGTATGATTGCCACTAGTAAACAATTTTCTTTCTCAAACACGACAATCGGCAATTACAATGATTCCTGCTGTATACCTAACAACACAAGATCTTTCGTTTCGATCGCGAAATGAAAAATGGCACTCGAGTCGTTCTACTTCCAAGTAATCGGGTAAACAAGCGCAGTAGAAAAAAAATTCATCTCCCCACGGGAAAAGTGCACACGTCGAAAAAAAAAAAAAAAAAAAAAAAAAAAAATGGCACGTACACATACCGCACGAGCACCTCCTCGTCTTTGTTCCAAACACATGCACACCGCACAAAAGACAGAGGGACATTTATCATCATAGAAATACGAAGAATCGAGCAAAGATCAACAACGCGTCAGCCGCTCAGTGTACCCAATAGCACTCGACGATTTCATTGCGCGTGTGTGCCATTGAAAAGTAAAAGGTGTCTCGCCTACGTTTCCCTTTTTTCCCTCCCGATCCTCTCTGACTTACAGCCCAGCTTATACACCCTCCGCGGCCAACTCGACCGTGCACAAGTGCGTCGCATCTCTCTCATCCCGAGCGAGCACGTGCCCGTGTATCCTTTGACCTTTCCAACCTTGAGGCAAAGTGCCCAGACCATCAGCAGTCCCGATCGTTTGCTCTACTGCTCCGAGGAGAAAAATATTCCTCCCCCCCCCCACCTCCCCCTTTTTTTTCTTCCTCGTCGCAAAGTAGTTCTGTCTCGGTAACACGCGCCATTTAGAAGAAAAATAATAATAATAATAAATAAAAATTTCCGTGTGCGTGTTAATGAATAAAAACAATGAAATAAATGAGAATACGCATTTTTACGCCCAGTTTTAGGGGTTCGAAATCGCATAGTCGGGAAAAATCATGAAAAATTCAGCATCCATTGGTTATTTAGTAAGGGTTTAGCAAACAAGGGCGTGGGGTGTAAAATGAAAAACGCTCGAGTAACCCGCAACTTGGAAATATTGATTGAAATGTGTATATAGGGACACAGTGGTCTCGGGGGCGTATTTTGATCGACGCACGCATTCCAATGAGCGGCGCTCAATCGACTACTCTACGGGCATCCGATGCCGAATGAATATTTCATCAGCACTCGTGTGATGCTTTTTTCCTCGTGTCACTCTGTTTTTCAAAACATCACGTTTCTCACTTTATTTTATTATTTTTCTTTTTTTGTTTCAATCGATAATTCTTATGAACTACAGTTACATCTTTTATTCTTTTTCTTTTATTCCAAAAATGCAACATAGACATGCCGTAGCTGCCGCTCTCGACTTTCCAAGCAATATTGGTATACGCAACAAAATGAGTCGTAAAAGGGCTCAAGAAATCGCGAAGAGTAGAAAATCTTCCGCACTTTGATCCGCTCAGTCCTTTCAAAAAAAGTCCCCCTTGGCGTATATATATATATACAGCTTACCGGATAACGCCGCGCGTGTACACAACTCGCAAGAAAATGACACGGTGTACAGGTGACACGCGATACACAGCGCTCTTAGACATTGCGAGAGTCTTGGCGATCCTTGCGAGCTACAGCGTATCGATTTTCCAGGTCCTGCTGTCGATATCTCGTAGCTGCAGACGCTGTTTTGAAAGGAGACCGAGGCGAGAGGGGGACAAAATTGTCCATAATCGAGAATAGTAGGGTTTGGGAGGGTGTTCGTGGATTGCGTAACTCAAGAGCTGGTGCGAAATTAAATCGAACGGGGAGAAACTGGATACTCGTCGCGTCGCTCAATCGACAGGTATTGTTCTTTTCGGCATCATTGTCATGCACCCTCGTTCACTTAGATCGAGTTACTTTATTGTCATTAATATCGGCAAAAGAAATTACAGCAACAATAATCGGTACGAAGCCAATTCAATTAAAAATATGAAGAAAAATGGGAAACTTTAACCGAGGAGGCCGTGCCAAGATAAGAGAAAAGGTGGGTGCCGAGTGCAAGTGCGAGATAAGAGGGGAGAGATAAAAAAAAGGACATTGTGCCCCCTTGGTGATGGGAACTTTCGGTTTGAACGCCGCGTTCTTTTCCTCTTTTATTTTTATCGCCAACCGTCGCCAGACATACGGTACGGTCTTCCTCCTTCCTTTCACTAAAATTTTTTATTTTTTTTTATTTTTATTCCATCGTCGCGTTGCGTGATCCTCTACTCCCGACTCCCTGTGTGGTATGGTAGTAATGTAAGTGTGACAATTCCGTGAATTTTCATTTATCTAAGTAGTAAAGAAGCGGCCTGAACGTGCGGTTGCATCGACAGGTATACACTTGTCGATGAAATATTTCAGTAGAACAGGGTCGTAGTTGGTAAGACGTACCTAAGTGTAAGCCAACTGTACTCGATTAGGAAATGTGAATAATTTTGTAGTTTTTATGTTTTCAAAATAGCTAACTGATGGCTTGAAGATAAAAACGATCTACGATGAAGCTAAAATCCGTTCGTCCGAAAGAGCACAAGAAATAAAATGTATCTCTATCTCTGCTTGAAATCGATACCAGACTATACAGCTGATCTGCGCCCAACTTACACCTAAAACAGTCGAATGGCCAAACTAATGTATACCTCGTCGTTATACTCTTCCCGTTACCGCGTATCTTCCATTATTTTTTAGCTTTGCCCCCACCCTTCCCTACATACGTTGCGAGAAAAAATTTCTGTCTCCCGGTTCACGTGCTCCCACTTTTTTTTGCCATCAAGCAAAGTTGCAGCCGGCGATTTATGCCCATTCATTCATCTGCATGCGGTGCTTCAATACCTTCGAGCCCACGTAGAAAGTGTTAAAATAGAGAGCCCGAGATTACACGCGCATTCGCAACGAGAGGGAGGGGGGGTTGCACGCTACATTATACTCGCGCTTTAATATTTTTGTGCGTAGCTTATCGGGAGCGTGGCTTTTTTTTCAAACCATTCGCTCGTCTGACTATCGAGAAAATCCAACGTTTTGCACCTACTCTTTGATTTCAATGAAAAATTATTGAACAGGTATACATTTATTTATCCAAGTACCATTTAATGTCTAGTATTTTTCATTACTCAAAATTTCATGCACAAACTAAACACGAAGCACCCAATGTAACCACAAGAAGAAAGAAAAAAAAAAAAATCAGCATCTCTCCCAGTTAAATACATAACGTTTGAAATACCTCGGGAAGAAATTCGGCCTCTCCATTCACACGCTGTCCCGAAAAGGGGAGTAAAAATAATGCCAGCTGTCGAGAATCGAGGGGCCGCCCGAAGCTGACGAAATAAAAGAAACGCACGAAATTGCCGACACGCAGCCGTGTATTTTCTTACGTCATGCCCCTGCTCGTTCATTCATAGCTACGTCATCTTCAGAGACCGGTTGGAGCTGGCGGGGTCTCCCGGAGGAGCTGGTACGTCGTTGGCGCTTCGCGCGCAGTTTAGCGCCGACTGCCACTAAATTCGGCCGCTTCTTTTTTTTTTTTTTTTTCCTTCCTACGCGAGCATGTAGTCGAGTGTACGCGTTGTTGTTCTCACGGCCGTGCTCGAGCGATGTTTTGCTTGCGGGTGTTTTTGTTTTCGAAGCGACGCGCCAGTGGACGGATCGTGTTTGTTCGACGAGTCTGGATGGACTGACATCTAGTCGAGGTGCCGGTGCTTTAAATCTGCCGTCTACTTGGCTCCAAAGTGTAGGCATCACTTGTCTTGTTGTTCTTGTGGTTTTTGGGACGCACCCGCGTCATGCGCGCAGTTTTCGCATCGGAGGGATCTCTTTCCAAAGAGCCATGTTGATCGGTTGTCCGCAGAGAGACGCGACAATAGTACAAGAGCGTACCAAACCTGCTTCTATATAGTTTCCAGCCCGTCCTTTTTTTCTTTGCACGCTTGAATTTGTAATTTCGACGTGTGGATGTTCGCCGAAAAAAAATGGCTTAGACTTTCAAATGGCAGGTACTTCTACGCTCATGTGTACAACCGTCGAGTCGCAAAGTTGTTCCGCGCAGGTTGAGAAACCGGCTTCGTTTGTATGTTTTTCGCTGCACACTCGAACTTTTCAGCTGTACACGCGTAGCGCAGTTTTTGCTGCAACTTGGCCATTTAGGAATGGGGGGGGGGGGGGTTTTAATCGCGCTAACGCGTAATGAAGAATTCAAGGCGAGTAGAATAATTGCTCGAAGCTCGCCATGAGAGATTTTTCTCCATTTATTGCGGAATCTATATACTTGTAGTAGATGCGCTTATTCGGAGTGTTTGTGTGTGTGTGTTCTTTTGTGTAAAGCGAGAAGACAAAAATGTCACAATGATGCGTATAATTGATCCGACTAGTTTGTTTGTTTTCATTTTTTTTTTACTCGCGTTATTCTAAATAATTGTCAAATAAAATTGTAAAATTGGTTATTGCAGAAAATGCCTTCGTTGGTGAAGAGACAGGCGCCGATGCCTGCCGCTCCCGGCCAGGAAGCGCAGCTCCCAACGCAGCCGGTCACCACGACTATCACGTCGAATCTCACGACGCCAAAGTCGCTCACAAATGTCGAAGAGACGGGGGGCTTCGGTAAGACCTCGCCTATTACGTAAAATTGACCAAGTCTCAAAAAAAATATTTCGAGCTTTTTATCGAGACCTTCAAGTGCACAGTCACTCGATCAAAGCCCAGCTTTATTTGTTGCTTGTCGAATGATATTGCTACTTGAAAATTATCAATTCTAGATCAATTCTTAATGACAACTTTTTTTTCATAAATAATCATGACAAATTAATTTTTCACCAAATATAAATACATTACAAGATTTAAACGTTTATTTATCCATTATTTGTACAAAACTTGTACTGGTCTCACGTGACAAGTCCTGCATGCCGTTTAACCGACACGTTCGAACAATAACTAATTACCTTGTTTGCACAGTCACGACAACGGAAACGGAAAGCGTCGTGACGACCACCGTAAAGTCCTTGGAGGAGAAGATCGAGAAAGTCGTCGACAAGTTTTCCGACGAGGCGGGCCTACCCACGTGGGCCGTCATCACTCTTTTCATAGGTAATCCATTCCTATTGTTCTGTTTTTTTTGCTCTCTCTCAAACATTAGGTCATCGTCGTCGTCGTCGTTAAAATTTTATACTTAAATTAACTGCGGCATAATACTGTAAGATTATGTCACTTTGTTATTGCTTTAAAAATAATCTCGTACAAAAGTAATGCGGAATTAATTTTTTATTCCTGAGCACATGGGTACGTATACGATGCATGAATACTATAAAATCCTCTCAGATGAAACAGCATTTAGTTAAATCACTGATAAAGCTTGCGCAGTTTTTTTCACTAGGTATAAAATTTACAAATCCATTCAACGTTAATGCGTTTTTTTTTTTTCTAAAAATAAAAATTTACTTTTGATTTGATGGAAATCTTTTTTTTAAACTCATTTTTTGATACTTGAAATAAGTAAGTGCAAACAATTAGCTTCACTATAGAGGAATGACCAAATACATGCTACCCGTTAAACATTCGATGAAGAAAAAAAAAAAAAAAAAAAAGAAAGAAAAAAAAGATGCTCTACGCTTGTCTACATTCCATTCGGGCATTACTTCGACATTATCAACGAAAACCTGTCCGCCGTACCGTAACTCGCTATAAATTAATGACACGAACAAGAAGAAGAAAAAAAACAGCTACAGCGATAAAAGTTCGTAATTGCCCGTATGTATAGGCAGGGGCATTCGCTAGTCTTGGTTACAATATTATCGCGACCCACGCGTTATACAAGCACGTTTATTTGCACTCCCGGTTGGTAGTACCCACCGGCGATTGTCGGTGCACAGCCGAGAAGGTACATAATTATGTAGGTAGAATCAATCGCTTATCAATTTATTTATTGGGAGAAGCGCTGTTATTAACGACGACGGCGAAAGCGGTGCGATCTAATGAAATACAAAGTGTCCCAAAGTGTCCCAGCGAGTGCTAAAACCCCATAAATTTCCCGAGCAGTAGGTTTACTCATACTCGGACTGATCGGCTTCTGCATAAGGAGATGCTTCAAGAAGCGACGCGCAAAGGACGGGAAAAAGGGCAAGGGCGGGGTCGACCTCAAGTCGGTGCAACTGTTGGGCAGTACGTACAAGGACAAGGTGAGTCGTCGCTTTCGTTTGTACTTTTTTGGCTCCTCAACGCTTTCATAGTCAAAAAGTAGGCGCAATTTTGGTGGTAAACGAAAACGGGGTGTTCTCTTGCACGTGCACAGGTGCAGCCGGACATGGAGGAGCTGACCGAGAACGCCGAGGAGCCGGACGAGGCCGAGAGCAAGCAGAGCGAAGTCAAGCTCGGCAGGCTTCAATTCAAGGTGGGTCTCTCTCGCCACCACTGCAACTCTTTTGTTCCATCCCTCCGACCCCTCTCATATCCCCTTTGAAACACAGTCAACTGGAGAACTTTGTTTGTGTGGCAATTTCATCAATATTTTTACACGAGGTCCACACTGATTCGAGTCGTTACAACTGGCAACGCAGTACTAACAAGTTTTCTTTATTACTTTCACCACATTTTTTTCATCTTCCATCCAAAATTTTACCTTTTTGGCCGATTATTCTTTTTAGTCAAACGTATCACTTTGAAAAAGACATTTTTTTTTTTTTTTTTTTTTAACGATCTCCGGTTGATTAGTGTTTTGTCTCAAAAGTAGGCGTCGATTGATCCGGGAAGAATTTCTCGATTCATTCATGAATACGTGATCGCCGAAAAGGATGTAAATAACGACGCGTATCTGATGGGAGGGAAAAAAAAAAAAAACACATTATCTCACCAACCGGACAATCAGCATCGCGTAAAACGCGCGAGAAGGTCTCCATTGTCTCGGAGACACAGGCGTTAACGCTCGTGATTCTTGAGCTCGCGAAAGGAAGAAAGAGATAAAAAAAAAAATGAAATTCTGACGTCGTAAGGCCCGCGGAGTCTCTAGTGAATGTTTATTGATCGCCGGAGCTGTGCGCTCGCTCCTCCGTCTTTCACGGACGGTCTCGCCGTCTCTCTCGTACCAGCACGCCGGTACGTGTGCGTTCGACCGAAATCTAGTGTGCGGAAGAGCCGCGAGTGGAAAAAAGGAAGGAAGACAACGGCGAATCGGGATGAAACGAGAAAGAGGGAGTGACCGAATCGGTGGGGTGGATGAGAATTTGAAAGAAATAAAAAATAGGAAATACGCGAATACTCGCGGGAAAAAAGATTAATAGAAATAAAATAATGGCAAAGAGGCAGCGATTGAAAATATTTCTCTGGCCTTTCGCAAAAGAGCCCCTCGACCCGAATTAAAAGTAGAATCTTAAAACAAAAATCTCCGAAACTGTAGTGATAATTTAACTCTTCAACAGTATAGGTGTTGACTTTTTAAGAAGATCTTTACTTAAAAGTACCGATTGAATTAAAATCAGTGACGTTATACTGTGAAATTCCACGCCATTTGGAATAAAATAACATACCCCGTATCAATTTTCCATGAAAGTTGGTATGAAAACGTGTGTGGAACCACGATGACGCGTTGTCCTTTTCCAGACGAGTGAGCTATACACTCCCCCAACTTCCAACCCCAAGCCCTTACGCGCAAACACCGATACCATTCGGAACGTCTAAAAATAACTCGTTTCTCCTATATGTACGAAGCAACGAAACGGCCGTTTACTTCTGCTTGTTTGCACGTAAAAGTATTTCCACGCAAAGGCTCCTCGAGCTTTCGAGGACACGGCAGTAGGTCCAGTCCGAAAATAAACCCCTCCCCACTAGCTACGTACAAAGTGTAACATACCGATCGAGTGTTGACCGATGGATTGTTTTGCCCATGGCAGCTGGAGTACGACTTCAACGCGAACAGCTTGGCCGTTACGGTGATAAAGGCCGAGGAGCTCCCGGCCCTCGACATGGGCGGCACTTCCGATCCTTACGTCAAGTGCTACCTCCTGCCCGACAAGAAGAAGAAGTTCGAGACGAAGGTCCACCGGAAGACGCTCAATCCCGAGTTCAATGAGACTTTCACGTTCAAGGTACGCATATTCTCGTGTCCTAGAGGCACGTATACATAATTATATACTTATGATATCCCTATAGTGTAACATGTACGCATTGTATCTTAACCGGATGCTGAGCTTATCGGATATCTCAATTAAATGGGAGGTGGCGATCAAGGACACACGTTTGCCGCCACTTCTCGTATCATGTTTTCCTTACTCTCAAGTTCGCTATTGCGGATATTGAATGACTTTTGATCAACTGAAAAAACGATGAGGCTTTTTTTATCCTCAAGTTTCAGTTAAAGTATAAAATTGTAAAAAAAACTGAATCACCATTACGATGCACTCGATTGACTATTTACTGCCATTATACTCCACTGCATTCCTCTGAGAGGAAGTTTATGATGGAATGTGTTATATTGAAGTCTACCGACCGAACCAATGATTGTACGAACCAACCGCAGCTTTTTTTCGGTTAATCCCCATACTTAGCGTAAACGCGAAACGAAACGGAAATGAAACGCAAATAAAAAAAAAAAAAAAAAAAACCCCGATGAGCCTAAACAAACTACTCGTGAGCGAGGAGTGAAAGCTAATCCGATGTTGTGTTAAACGCAGAGTCTGCCGTACGCCGACGCGATGAACAAGACGCTGGTGTTTGCCATCTTCGACTTTGACAGATTCTCAAAGCACGACCAGATCGGCGAGGTCAAGGTGCCACTTTGCATGGTCGACCTCGCCCAGACGATCGAGGAATGGCGGGACCTCGTCAGCGTCGAGGGCGAAGGCACAGGGGTGAGTATACCTCCTTTTCCTCTCTCTCTCTCTCTCTCTCTCTCTCTCTCTATTGTTATTTTTCACGTTGATCTTCGCGCGCACATGCACGTCTCTCCGTATGTTTATCCGATTTTTTACGCTTCGGCGCGGTAGTAAAACTTTTTTCATCCCTCCATACGCGGTTGACGGGGCATCAGCTGCGAAAACGGTATACTTGTCGTTTGGACTGCGAGCTACAGAAAAAAAAAAAAAAAAAAAAAAAAAAAAAAAAAAAAAAANGTTATCGACTCTATGTAGTACGGCGTCACTTTCGTATGGTCGCAGGACAGTGTTTCTGTTTATCAACAACACATATTTACACTCAAACTATATTGTTATCCTATGTGAGATGTGTCAACATTTTTAAATAATCATTTGATTACTCGTTACTACTACAATCATTAGACACTTTGGGAAAAAAAAAAAAAAAAAAAAAAAAAAAAAAAAAAAAAAAAAAAAAACAACAGCCGAGGTTCCCCTGAAACTGAATAGTCGCGTTTGCAGAAACTAGCTGTTTTTCTCGGGGTGTGGGAGGATAAAAACGCGCGATGCTCGCGGCTGGTTTTAAAAACAATCCGATCGTCGAATGAAAGATAAAAGTGAGGATTTCATTGTTGGAACGCGTTGCAGGACAACAAGTTGGGTGACATCTGCTTCTCCCTGCGTTACGTGCCGACCGCGGGTAAACTGACTGTCGTGATCCTGGAGGCGAAGAATCTCAAGAAGATGGACGTGGGTGGCCTCTCCGATCCTTACGTCAAGATCGCGATACTGCAGAACGGCAAGCGGCTCAAGAAGAAGAAGACGTCCATCAAAAAGTGCACCCTCAATCCGTACTACAACGAATCATTCACCTTTGAAGTACCCTTTGAACAGATTCAGGTGAGCTTTTACATTCGCACGAAAGATTATTTGTGTTTTTTTTTTTTATGATAAGTCAGCACACGTTTTGACGATTACTTTCAACGGATTGCCTTGATCGTCTTTGTTTGAGATGTGTATGGAATGCGTTTTTATCATTGATTCTGGCAAGGGTTCAGGAAAGTACGCATTGAATCCGTACACATTTTTTATGCATCGTGCGGTAGTGCAAAATGTTTTTTGAGTAATCAAAGAGGGAGTAAAAAAAAAAAAAAAAAAAAATGTTAATGATTTCCAAACAGAAAGTGAACTTGTCGGTGACTGTGGTGGATTACGATGATCGTATCGGTACGTCCGAGCCAATCGGCAAGGTCATTCTTGGCTACAACGCGAGCGGCACGGAACTGAGACACTGGTCGGACATGTTGGCATCGCCGAGGCGTCCGATCGCCCAGTGGCATACGCTCAAAGATCCCGAGGATGGCGACAAGAAGGACTAAGGAGACAACAAATCGTTTTAATGGTAATTCAATTATTTTTGGTATCAATTGATACGACTGGGACTCAGGAATGCACTGTATTTTCACCAGAACAAAAAAAGTGTTAACATTACACAACACGTGATTGTATAGGCTAAAAAAAAATTCTAATCCTCACATGAGTGTGGTTCACGCTACTATTGCGTAATCAAGTTGCAAGTGATTTTACACAAGTGTCCTAATCAACGGCTTTCAATTTAACAAAATTTTGCAGCTACTGACTTATTTAAGCAAAAATTTTCGCTCTGGTGAATAATACATCTCAGTGTTGCTTGATTTCGTTTCTTTTTTTTTAATCCTTATGTACTTATTGTAAAGTACAAATAAATATTTGCAGGGAGAAAAATCTTGATGAAGGATTACGAAAAGTACGAGATGATAATACGAAACACACGATAGGCACATGAAACGATCACGTATGTATTAATCGATGAAACGTGAATAATGAAACAGACGAGCAAACAACAGTAAGAAAACCAAAAGTACCAGCAAAGAAAGAGCTAGCGTTAACGATATGTTCTCATGGAGTGTAGTGTCTTGTATATATACACACAACTATATCAGCTATACTTCTCTCTGTAGACGTAACGGTTATAATATGATTATTTAAGAAGAAACAAAAAACAAAAACAATTAAAACAACTAAGAAATCGCGGCGCGTCCTCTCAACGAAGACACAAACACGCAAACGCATTACATTCCAAAAAAAAAAGTTTTCTTTTTATATGTAACATACGTTTTAACGATATATTTACTATATTTTCAATCAGCGATGGAGTTTATGAAATGATTGAAATCCTTAACTATAAAATTCCGCTTTGGTCTGTTAGAAACGAAGTTTTTCCCAGTATTAATTTATTTTGTGAAAAATAAAATTGACAAAAAATTAGATTCGTTGCATGTGCACGTACATTTGAAAAAAGACCCTTTATGGATCTGTTAGATGACTACGTAACTTCCTACTATCGCCTCTTTTACTTTTCTTTAGAAAAAAAAAGTCGAGAGACACGCGGGAATGATGCTTTTGACCGCCCTGTCTTCGTTGCAACAAAAATGAACCACCTATGATTATCATCTGAGTCGATAATACGTCGAACCAAGTAATGATGAAAAAAAAGAAAAAAAGGCGAATGACGAGAAAAAAAAAAGGAAAAACGTTAGTATAAAATTTTAACGCTACACTCGCTCTGGGCGTTCGCGTCTTCAAAGCGGTTTCGTCGACAATATATACATATTATACATAAATATATATATATATATATAATATTATACATTTGCTTCTCGAATAAGCGAAAACTCGCCGTTACGCTGTGCCGCGCGACGCACTCCCCCACATGAAGTAAAAATTATCAATAAGTAATTTGCTCGACGAGCGTGACAAATGGCACCGTTTGAGCGTCGAAAGTGGAGCAACTACCGCTCGCGCGACCCGAGAGATTCGTCGTTCGAACAGCCGCGAATCGTCGAAAAATATTACCGGGCGTGAGAACACCCACCGGCCTATCAAGCGATAGCCGCTCAAACGGTGCTTCGGATGGATGAAAATTAAAAAAAAAGAAAAAAAAAAAATGGCCCACAGTTGAATAATATGCCACTGCGTCGTAGCGCTAAGCGTTCGGCGACCAATCGGCCTGTAAATTTCGCGCTCGTGCAAGCTCAGTTGTATTCTGTCGAAAAACCGTAGGTAGGAAACGCCCGACGCGTCCCCCAATGGCACGCCAACGATTTTCTACGTCCCTTCAATGCACGACTGCGTCAAAGATGCATACGTATGATTTCTCTCATCCAAAGAAGAAAAATAAACAATAATATCCGAAAGATTCGGAAAATCGTCGGCCACGTGCTCCCCCGTACGCGTCGTGCGTTTCTACTAAGGATTTTTTCCAGATAATGTATTAATAAACCATGGCGTGTTTTAATGAAGAATTACCCATAGTTATTCTTATTATTATGAATTATTAATAATCGACAAGGAAAAAGAAAAAAAAAAAAAAAAAGAAATCCCCAACAACCCCCACTGATGTTGATATCAACGGCGTGTTTACGTAAACGTATATAATAATGGCGTGTTAATCATTCATAGCTGTCATGAATTTCTTTGTTATTCGAAAATGTCGCGTTAAAGGGTGAGAGAACGAGAAAGTTATATATTTAATTGTAAAATTACGAAGGATAAGCAAAAAATAAAAAAAAGTAAATAAACAAAAACTAAAATAATGGTGCATACACTTAAAAACTTGTTGCTATGGTACTTATATTTATTGTGAGTTACGTGAATTGAGAAAAATCTATCATTAGGTGATTGGGAGTGAGCGCGAGAGTGAGATGTTATTATTATTAAAAAAAAAAAAAAAAAAAAAGTGAAAACGAGAGACACACGAGGGGCACTCATCGTCACTCATCCGTACTGTAACTCGGGTTCATTGAGTATTCACGTATAACCGTTCAACGCGGAGCTTTTGCGACGTGTACTATACATATTTTTTCGACTCACGCATATTTTTTCGGTTCGCTCCCATTATATTACACCCGCAAGTCCACGATTCGTCGTCACGTCCCGAAAATAGAGTTTACCGCACGGCGATGCACACACGCTAACTGATCCGTGTAAATAATTCCTTTCCCCCTGCAAATTACGCCGCGCGCGTTGAAAATTGTCACTGTATTCTAGTGCGCGAATTGTTTTTTTATTTCTCCTTTGCGTGGCTGAACAATATACATTATGCAAACGTGTGCGCGCGACTCCGTCTCGACGAGCTCAAAAGCTATGAGAAGAATGAATAAAATATATCCGTGTAATACCTTCGGGTAAATCGTTACTTAGTCACGAGAGTACCGATTTTCATTGTCCACTCCCTTGAGGAAAGCGGCCTTTCTTGAGCGATGCATTTTATTTATCAAAAGTACCTACACGCAAAACAAGTATGAATGTTTCAACGTGTGACAAACAGCCAAGAGACGGGATTGGCTGTCGTTACAACAGTGACCGCGAGATCGGATAGGGGTGGGTACCTGCATCAAAGCTTCGTCCGGTTAGCTCATTGGTTCCTTTGCTCGTCACTGTATACCTTTCATTTGATTCTCAAGTTGTACGTTTCCATGATATACACACGTATCGTATAAATATATAAATATATCATGGACAATGCGACGAGTGCGAAAATCGCACATACAAACACACACACACATCACCCACAAATTGTACGAATCAAAGTCAGTATTGAGATATACCTAGGTAACATACGTATTATATATCCCCAGAGATGATCGTTGTACGCTTAGGGATAAAAGTTACATCGGCGAGTGAGAGTCGCGCGAGTCCTCGATCCTGAAACGCAAAAAGAAAGGGAGGAAGTAACGTATTGTAGGATCCCCTCACCTAAATTTTAGAGAAAACGGGAAGAAGGACAAGCACAGCGAAAAAGTAATACACGCGATATTAATGAAAAGAAAAAATAAAACGATAAAAAAAAAAAGAAAAAAAAACAAGGCACGTTCACCCATAACACACGACCATACAAATATCTCACGCTCTCACTTATGATAAACGATTATACAAATACACACATATATATATATACGGGGAGAAGAAAATAAAAGAGGGATAAAGAGAGCACACGGCGTAGCAAGTCTACGTGTAATGCGTATAAATAAATATCGAAACAGAGACGAAGCATACGATATTATATATATGTATGAAAATCGTAGTTGGCAGATTATAGAGTTTACAAAGCGTATACCTATTATGGTTACAATATAAATATATATGTGTGCGACGAATGGACGAAAAAAGCTCCCTTCCTACCGGGCGACGCGAGGGGTCGATCGAAAATTATTACCAATGATGATTAAACTTAGAGGCGTCTCTGGAGACGAGAGAACGCGCCACCTTTTTCACGTTGAATATTTATATAGATTTGTTGAGTGATGTCGCTCGGCTGGGAGGACAGGGAGGCTCGAGCTCGCGCCAATGCGATGATGCGGTTGATATGAGTTGATTCACACGTAGATGCATGTAAAAGTACTCTTGGCAAGATCACGTCGCGCACCTCTTTTTTTCTTTTTTCTTTTACTTTTCCCTATACTGTAATTTTTCATTACATCAGGACCAATGAACCGAATGGGGAAACAAAACCAATTTAGCACGTATACTTCGCTTGAAGCATCAAAAAAAAAAAAAAAAAAAAAAGAAATGTAAGGTGCGCTTAGCAAACAAAAAGTTCCGCATCACATATCCGTGCGTTGTTATAAAATTAGTTGTAGCTAAACACACCCACGCGCCGATATGTATCTCGATCTCTGTATTCAGGCAGATGATTTATCAGATTGTATTTGTACGCCTGTAGGTGAGCTTGTAGTTGTCACGCAAAGAAAAGAAACTCAAATTCTTTTGTCAATATTATTTATCATTAAACACAATACACGAACGATTTGATTGAAAAGACATTTTTTCGTTTTTGTGAGCATGGATCATTTGAACAATAGCTACTCGTACAGATGTATGATCGGTAGAACGACGACCAAAAGTTGAAAGTGACGTGGACGAGTGAATGAAAAATAAAAAAAAAATAAAAAAATATTGGTACACATATGGTAATGATAAACAATAAACATACTCGAGCCATTACTATCGCAATCATGCGCACAATATCATCATCGCGAACGAATGTACTTACGCCTGCTAGTTTATATACGTATAGAGACACGCAAGCACAATATACACATCACACGTACATCGTATATATACATATGTACACAGCCTTTGCGAGGGGACGATGGATTGAAAAAAAAAAAAAAAAAAAAATTACATGGGGAAAAACGATTCAAAGTGGCGCGGCGTTAAAATTATCATCATCATCGTTTTATTATTCGAGCGCGAAGCAGCGATACACTAGAACAGCGCGTAAGTTTATACAATATTATAAGACGTAAGTAGTGGTATGTAGTGGAAAAATCGTAGATGTATGCGCCAAGGCAAAAATCTAAGCCCATCGGAGGATATAGGATCGTATGTAGAAGCTCGACTAGTTTGCGCTGTGTAGGCTTGTTAAAATTGCGAAAGGGAGATTGTGGATTTGGCCGGGAGTAAGCATCAGATCTGGAGGAGGGGAAGGCTCACTGACTATGAACACCACGTGCCTAAATGTAATATACCTCGATGCCTCGTAGGTATTTTTATTTATTTTTTTATTTTTGTTTCGATCGATTGCATAAGGAAAGAGGGGGTAGATCGACGGGTGTGGAATGCTCATTGATTAATCGTCACGAAGGAGGTACACCGTCCGAGTGTCGAGAGTTGTGTCGAACCGCCATCAAAGTACAATAATCGGGGAAAGTGATGCTGTGTAATTTCCAGTCAACCACCTTTTTATTACATTTTGAGATTTCGTAACAATAACACAATACTGTTCGTCGTTCATGTCGCGAAAAATTTGCCCCAATGGTACACCATGTTTTAAAAATGTTGCGAGTTTTTGCTGCTTTTTGTGCTAACAAATAATTTCCATGGGCTCCTTCCGCATAAATTTAAATGCAACTATACTTGGCTAAATGCACGTATATACGTGCAAATTAACTTTATTACAACCTTTTTTTTTTTTTCTTCAAAACGTTATAAATTGTTGAAAAACAACATTTTTACAACATTTTGTGCTGAATGTTATTACCTCGATATATTAAAAAAATTTTCATTTAGAAGGCAGAAAAAATTCTGAAGGAGATTTTGAGTGCTACCACACAAAATTGGTTCGATGGTTAAATAGACAGGCAACGGAAAACAGAGAATGACACAAGTACGGTAGTACACACGCATCACGTGTGTAACGGGCGTGTATGTGAAAAACTAAGCATCGATACTTGTCACTCACTTTATCACCAGCTATACGAGCAAAAAGTTGTAGGGTGGATAAATCAATGAATGTGCCGTCATTTCCATGTTGCTTCCTGGGACTCTTTTTTTTAATAAAAGTACCCCACGAACATGTTTTTCACGCAGCTTCGTCGAACGTATGTTTGCCATCTCGAAAACTCGAAGGAACGACATTTTATAACATACGTGTATTCATGCATCAGCGAGCGCAAGTGATTCGGAAGAGAAATAGTCACATTGTTGATTTAACAAAAAAAAAATAATAATAATAAATAAAAAACGTGTTTAAAATTTTCATGTCGGTTTTCAATATATTATAATGATAACGATAGTAATAATGATTCCAAGTAATCGTCTAATATGAAAATTTTAGCCGTAAACAGTGTAGTTGAAAATTATAATATTGTTAAAGCTCGAGCTTGAAGCTTATCTCTTCACGGATTTTATATAATACCCACCTACCCCTATTTGCGAAAGATTCGAACACAGTTGCGCTGCTTGGAGTTTCTTGGATTACCCGTAATTGAAAAAAGAGGCAAAGGCATATTATATTATATATACAAAGACCTACTCCAGAAGTATTATACTCTTCACGCGTCCACATGAGATTAGACACTTTGGGAAAAAAAGCAAATAAAAAAAAAACAAAAAAAAAAAAAAACAGACAACGAGGTACACGCCCGATCACATAATATATATACTTGCTCATAAACACATACATTCGAGTCATGTAAATAAAGGTAATTGTAATTTTAAGGGGCTTCGTTTTTCTTTTTAGCAAAGAGGGTACTCCTAGGCTTCAAAAAAGGCATGTCCAAACGAAAAAAATTAAAAGTTTCATCGTAGCTGTGCTTTTTATTGTTTGACACACGTTGTTGTAATCTTGGCGACTTCACACTTTCTGCTCCTGAAATTTGAGTTTTTATGTGCATTTAGTGGTAGTAAAACAAGCTACTTCTCCGAGCAGAAGCCTCACGCGACCACGTCATTCGCTCGGTGACTTTTACGAGGTTGACTTTCTTTGTGGCACAGAGAAAATATTTTATTGAATTGGCGTATGTGTCGTTAGTGTAAGATTAATTTTTTTCGACGTTATCCTAAAAGATGGACTTTCTAAAAACATAGGTTTTTTGTAAAGTAAAAATATTACGCAATTGACTCAGTTTTATGTAAAACATGGGAAAATGTTGTTATCCTTTCGTGCAACTGAGAAAATCGGCCGCACGTTAACCTGTCAAACATTAAGATGAAAAAATTATTAAAATTTTGAGATTAGGAAATTTAGCTGTTTAATATGATTAAGGTGTGTATGTGGTGTAGCGAAAAAAGAAGGATTTAAACAAAGAAAAGAGACAGCCGAACAGGCGCTTGTCATTTTATTATTGATTCTTCCGTAGTGCGTAGCTTTTTCATAAAATCTGCGTTTTTTGCTGTAAAAAAAAAAAAAGAAAAAGAAAAAATATATTAAATGTAAACATAAAAATTTTGAAAATTGAAAAAACAAACCATGTTTGTTCCTAGTTACGCAACCCTGTATGAAAGTTTTACTATATGATTAATCGATCAAGGATATGCTCGTGAAAAAAAAAAAATAAAAAAAAATAATGATCACGACTAAATTGTCACGCAATTGTACTGGGAAAACATGCGAGGAGAGACGTTTTGGCGCACATTTAGCCACTACAGCAAAACATTATCTCCAAAAATTGAACAATTATTATGGTCCCTCTCGCAATGGGCGTTTGTATATTTTAGCTTCGTTAAAAAGTGAAACTCGAGCAGCTTCTCACTCCGAGTGTGTTGACTGGCAACTTCGACGGAATACAACGGGACGAAACGAAAAATTAATTAATTAAATGTCATTTTCAACCATTGTATTTTTGCGGAGACGCGAGGATGCGAACTCGTTATACATGAATGAAATGAATTATTATGCGTATTCTTATACATACACGTGATCGAGATCCCCAAAGTAAATGAAATAATAGAAAAAAATAAATAAACAAAAAATAGAAATGAACAAAATTTAACAAAAAAAAGAATTACGCCCCCCCCCCAGCTTGCCGAGAGAAATGAAGGATGTGTACCAACCTTGTAATCATTCCATTACGTACTGTATTAAGGATTAGCGCGAACGATGATGTATTGTAAATCCATAGAAGTTATTATTATATCATAATTATTATGTAATAAATATTGTTGTTAAAATAATGCCTTTATTTTGGCTCTTATACACAATAACTTTGTTAATTTTTTTTTTTACCGTACAATTCTTTTGAGTGAAAAAACGGATTTAGACAATTTCTTTGGTGAAATACACTCCTTGTAAAGGAAAAGTAAAATTATTTGTACTTGTTACTATAAAACATGCTTTACTTAAGATAGTGTAGGTATGTTTATCACTTAAAAAGAATCATGTTACAAAAAATGTTGTCAATTCTTTAAATTAATTTTATTTTTAATGACAATGGTAACTAATTTTAATTTTAATTTCATTTTAAACCTACTTTTAGTTTAGCCAAAGACATATTTTTTCGACGATAACACTGACTGTAGATAACAATGCAACATTACATGATTCTATTGCATTAAAGTTCTTTTTTTTTTATTTAATCCTTGCGAATTTAAAATGACAAATTTCAAATATTAATTAAGTTTTGCCATTACAATGTCTCTACCTGTCATCCGTTCGTACTTTATTTTGCAGATGATGGATTATTGGTTTAAATACAAATGATCAGTGAACTGTTTAGTTTGGATAAAATTTTAAATATGAAGCATTAGAAATAAAACAAATATAGAAAAATTATAAAATTACACTCTTAGTAATAAACAAAAACGTAAGTAATGGTGAACATAAAAGCGTATTTTTATAATTTTTTAGTTAATTTTGATCATCTTTTTTACACAACAAATTACCAGGGAACAAAATGCAGTATCTGTAAAGATTAAATTAAAATACATGAAACACCATTTGTTCGTCAACATCATAATGTACATAATGTATAAAAAAAAAAAAAAAAAAGTATCAAAACTAACATTATTCAATCAGATGAAACAAAAATTAGATAATAAAAAGTATTCGTTGCCAAAGTACGTGTATAAAATATATATATGTATATGTATGTAAAAACTACTAGATTGAACACAATTGACGCAGCGTGGCTGAAATGCATCGTTGATCATACGTGCGAGTTCTTACCTCAACGCACTTTGCGCGTATGATACAAAAAGTGCTTTTACAGGACCAAAGTGTGGAAAAAAGGCTACTGACGCACTCTCGAGTTTGCAACTGTACCGTCGAGACGCTACTCCAATATAATATTGATGAGCTGCTTCAGGAGGCTTAATACTGGCGGTAGGGCGATCGCTTCTGATTTGTCGTTGGCTGTTTTTTTACGGGAAGCCCGCGGGCGTAGGGTTTGTGTGCGTTTGTTGATAGATAGAAGATGCCTCTTGCTCTGCAACACAATAAAAATAATAATCATAATATCCGTGTGCATCGGATGGACTGGTTTTACGATTGAATTGGTTCACTCACGAAGGAGGGGTATCCTCCCCCATTGGTATGTACTGGTCTTCCGGTGGATTGCACCAGCCGATCAGGTAAGAGAAGAGATTCGCGCATGGCGCCGCCCAAAAACCCACTTTTGTCGTTATCGACTCTATGTAGTACGGCGTCACTTTCGTATGGTCGCAGGACAGTGTTTCTGTTTATCAACAACACATATTTACACTCAAACTATATTGTTATCCTATGTGAGATGTGTCAACATTTTTAAATAATCATTTGATTACTCGTTACTACTACAATCCGTTAATTTACTATTTAAAAATACCAACAAACATTTCATTTTCTGATTAGTGATGAAAAAAAAAAAAAAAAAAGTTTTATTCAATGATTTAATTACAAATTCTAATGTTCGTAAGTACATCGTTATAATTCGAAATATAAATGTGGTATATAAAAAAGTGATATAAAAGTGATGGTACGATTGTTTGAATTACAAGTGGTAAAAATATCTAATGGAGTTAAAAATATTTTAGCAAAGAGGTGCACTCACGCAGTAGTGACGCGGTCGCGCATCCGGGCTGGCTTGATCCACCGTTCACATAGAAATCCGCATGGCCATTTGGGCCCCACTGTCCCAGGATTCCCGCGCCCGTGTGGATCACATCGACAAAATGAGCGTCCGTCTCGTCCAAGTCCCTCGACCGGTTGCCGTTCATGTAGAAAAATATCGTCGGGTCGAGCCCTGTCCCATTCAACAGCACAAAAAAACCATTCCTCACGCTCTTTATACATTAATCGAAATTTTCATTCATTACAATGTACATGCTCCACTGACCAAAGGCTACCTACTACGTATACATTTATTTTTTACTAATTTTCAAATAAATAAATTATGAAAAAAATAATGAATAAGCACACAAACGTGCCAAAGTGGCATAATTACCGGTGATCCTGCCAAGCTTGTCATCGGGTAGGTAATTGGCTATGAGGCCGGCTATGTGGGCGCCGACGCTGTAGCCGAGCACGTGGATGCTCTCGGCAGGAGTGCCCCTCGGATGGTCCCTCAAGTACCTCACCAGCTGAGCAATGCAGCGCGAACAGAAATCCGGTCCCCATGATATCTGCGAGAGACAGGGCTCGCGTACCAACGAGCCGTAGTCGACTATTATTATGTTGTAGTGGCCTCGCGTGAAGTACGCTGCGTGTGTCACGGGAACGAATGGCACTCGGTTATTTATTTTATTTTATTAATTTTTCTCCTTAATCTATTATTACCATTTTTTTTTTTTTTTTTTTTTTTTTTTTTTTTTTTTTTTTTTTTTTTTTTTTTTTTTTTTTTTTTTTTTTTTTTTTTTTTTTTTTTTCAATATAAATTGCAAAATCAGTTGAGGGCAAAAAAATTACGCAATTATGTATGTACACTTGGCACACCTTCAAAATAATTGAACATAGAGAGAAAGGTACTTTGCGTGGCATTGATGTACGTTATTTGTCACGATGGATCATTAACATTACGCCGCATCTAAACGACCACTTTAGCTTGCATCAGGTTTCATAAATGTACTGTACACGAATATTGTATGTGCAGATATATTGCACACATCAGGGATCCACGATCATTAAAATTCTACAGCCAAGTAGAGGATCTTTTTATTCAAAAAATTGTTGTGAAAAACAAAATAAACGTTTAAATATATTTTTCGTTTATTTTATTATTTATTTAGTTTCTTGAACGAGCTAAAAGGCTCTTTAAAAAATAAAAAAAAATGGTGTATGCAAGTTCATATTGTATGATTGAACGATTTATTGCACTGGGGCGATTCCCGTGTAGGTGACTGGCAAGAAAGTTTTACACGTAAAATTGAAAACAGTACTATAAATCATTGAAGGATAAAGTTGTAACCAAGAACAAAATAAAATGAAATACTCTAACGAAGGTAGTAATATATATATCAGAAAAATACATCATCTCAAACAATGTTTTAAAGAATAATATAAGAATACAACGTGTTGTTTGAAACAATTTTTGACAAAGATGCAAAGAAAATTTCAAAGTAAAATTCTTTTGAAAGGTTGTTGGATGTATTATATTTTTCAGCTTGGGTCCATAAATAAAAAAAAGCGTATTGTAGAGAAAAAAGAATTGATTCTCCGTAACGTCACCTTTCCGAAGATCAGTGCTGGGAGCCAAGTTCCTCCCTCCGCCGAAGCCGTGAATGATGATCTTTGTCGGGTTCCTCGGATTGAATTTCGACTTGGACAAGGACTCTTTTCGAGTCACGTGCAACTGAACCGGATTCTGCTGAGTTTCTCTGCAACCATGAATTTCTCGTCAAATCAAAATCGAATAACATCCCGCATTTCGCGTCATCAGCTCTACGTCTCGCATATACGACGCCGATTGAGTTGCGAAACCCAATGACATTCAAGGATCCGACAAAAAGACCGTCGTGCATCCTTCGCTTGTTATGGCGTTTATACGCGCGCGCATTAGCATATGATATTGCAACGCCACTCGAAGTACGATAAAAAAAAAAGTTTAATTGCACAGTGGCCGATTGCAAGAACAACTTGCCTTATGTGTGCATATAAATGTCAGATCGTCCCTCACGGTATGCGCGAGGCGCGTGACAATTTGCAGAAAAAATCCGATCGATTAACTCCCTTGTAACTTATATATTATATACTAACTGTATGCCGAGTTTTAATGAAAGCGCAACGATAATTGCATAAACAAGAGCAACGGTGCGGGATTACATATTATATAGCTGAGTAAATAACAACGTAATGTGCGGCAAAAAAAAAAAAAAATCCCAAGGGAAGAGGAAAAAACGGAGGTCGGCTTGTCTTGGTGCAAATAAATTCATTGACTCTCGGGACGGTGATACGGCAGAATGGCATTTTTTCCTCCTCGAAAGTAATGCGAAGCTCACCTGTGTGTTGTGTTTTGTATTCTTGCGTTTGCGTGGGAGGTAAGCGGAGAAAGGTATATAGCGGTGGTCCCGGTGCTATTGGGGTCGCTTTCAGTCGAGAGTGTACAGATGATCGTGATCTTGAAAGCGAGAGTCGTTGTTGTGTCTATATGTACGTGTGCGCGCGATCGAGTGTATACATACGGACTATTTTTTTTTTCCCCCTCATGGTGGGCAGATGCTTTTACAAGTATTTTTTGAAGTAAGAGAGACGGAAAATTCGCGTAATTCACAGAGCAGGCATTTTTTTTAGTTTAGCTCTCATTTCGTCCATTGTTTCTTTTTGTTATTAAAACGTTACTACTGATGAAATTAAATATTTGCAAATAACAGTGTATAAAAATAGTTTTTTTCAAAATAAATACCTACCACATTTTAATACAATTTTTAATTGATGAAAATAATACTAAAACACAGACTATAAAATGTATATATATCTTTTTTTTCTAATATATTTCTTGAAAAAAATGTATTTTTTACGATTTTTAAGCTTTTTCAATAAACAAAAAAGAAATTTCAACATCAGTGTTATTGAATAATTTATAAAAATGTTTCAATAATTATTTCTTTGGAACCAGACGGATATAAAAATCTGATAGGAAAAAAAATGCAAATCTTTTGAATCTGGTATATATTTTGGAGTTCAGTTATCATTATAATGGTATTTTTGGAAATATCAGAACTTATGCGTCACTCAAAGTCCATATTCGATCCCTGAACTGTCAAAGTACACGTTGGCATCTCTAGCCATATGGTACATGTAAGCGAACAACTTCATTGAGTTTATAAAAAGATAATATGACAATCCAAACGTTTTTTTGCGTATACTTTAATAATGAATTTACATCCTTTAAATTTTACATTTGTGCAAAAAAATACCCACTTACAGTACCTTATAAACGGAGCCTCTAAGACTTATAAATTCAATATTTAAACTACCAATCTTACCAGATCCAACAATGAGTATAAAATGTAGAGCAAACAAGACGTAAAAGGAAAAAAAGCCGTTTCATCGAATGAAAAAAAAAAAAAAAAATGCAACTTACCTTGTATACAAAAAAAACTGGATGTGCGGATATGGACAGGTGAACGGCGGCCTCGCACAAGACGAGCTGTTGAAGAGGTCCTGCCAGGTTTTGTTTCGGTTCTGCTGCTGTGCCGTCACCTCAGCTGAAAGTGCAAGCGCCGATATCTTTAAACAACACCATCACGTTCTCAATGATGCTAACGTACTAACAGTATAAGTCTGAATTTCAAGGCTCGACCGCCTATTAGGATATTACGTAAAAAAAAAAAAAAAAAAAAAAAAAAAAAAAAAAAAAAAAANATGAGTGTACACTCACGTAATAATAATTTGAGGGATTCAGGGAGGGATCAGCTCGCCATCTTTGCCGCTATAATTTTAATAACATTCTTTTTCATCGGTTTAAAAAAGGGAGAAAAAAAAAAAAAAAAAAAAAAAAAAAAAAAAAAAAAAAAAAAACAGGTAAAGGTTACCGATTGACTTTTGCTTGTAACGGTCGACTGGGTCTCTCTCCTGCGGCGTCTCATCACACGACCCGTTTAGAGCTGGTGTGGATAATTAAACTGTTGCGTTTTACACCGGAGAAAGTCGGTATAACAAAATTTAACGCCAATAAAGAGGACGACCTCATGCCTCTATAAATAGACGCTCGTATATTATTATACCTACGTATGACAGCGAGAGGCGAACGAAATGGAAACCAATAGCTGCTGTTTCTCCTCTCGAGTATTTGAAAAAGAAATTTTGTCAAAAAAAAAAAAAAAAAAAAAATTTGTTTGCCTCCATTACCATTTACACCGGACTTGACTACGAAACACTTGATGTAGTACATCGTCAATCAACGTCTTGAAAAAATGAAAATATTCAAGCTTAGCTCTTACTGGCACGTATTTTTTCCTTACTTCACCTATTCTACAGTTTCAGTACAACAAGGGAAATAAACAAAATTCCTTTTTATTTCCCCGCGACATCGTTTACATTTTACGTTATTTCGCTAAATTGCGTTTAATTCACGTGAACGGAGTTGCGCGCTATGATACAACAATTACGTGGTCATTGTTTAAGGCGAACGCGCGTTTATATCTTTACGTAATGTCGCTCGCACGAAAAATGTATACATCTCGATAACGAAACTGCAGAAAAGCATAAAAACGCATAAAAGTCCACAACAGGCACACCCGAGAATTAATTATTCAAAACGCATACGCGTGTGTGCTCTTGTATGAAAAATACACGCAAAAATGCTCGAGCGCGACTTGGAAAAAAAAAAAGAAAAAAAAAAACTGTTGGTAACTTTGATGGTTGTTATAAAAAAAGCAGGGAAAATCGTGCGTGTTTGGATGAAAGTTGAAAACAACGGTCGAATTTTCGCAACAACAGCGTGGAAAATGGAAAACGGAGCGGTTGGGAAACGCCGCGTGTGGCTGGCTTAAACGGAGCTCGAACTTTTGTGGAACTTTTCACGAGTCGTCTGCCGTTGCAAAAGCCTACATACTTTGAAGATTCTCGAGTATACGCAACCTTTAGGCATCAGAGATGATTGTCATTTTGAAGGATAAGTCACTTGGATGAAATGGACGAAAAGCTGGAAAAACCTGCACTTCTCGTGCACGTGGGCCACAACACCTTACGCAATTTTGATCCCAAACTGCATGCACGTGCCTAAAAAATATCCTCCAAATGTAATCCAAAGGAACTTTCTACGCTAAATTCAGCATCGAGCGCGCTGCGTTGCAAAATGCTCAAATTGCAACAAACAGCCGTGCGCAGAGCAAATTAATATCCGCCTCGACACGCCTAATTACCGATCGCGTTGCACCCGTGTATATATACGGAGAATCGCAAACATGCCACACCGAATATAATTATTGAACATGGAAACTCAGCTAAAGTGAGGGTACATACTTGCGCAAATGAAGCTTTACGTAAACATACACGTTCGAACGAAATTACGCACATGGGTATCGCGTGGACGCGCTCGAAAAATTTCCGTTTCCACGAATCGACGACCTTCCTCTTGTCACAAGAGGAGGAGGAGAGAAAGGCTTCGGTCGAAGAGTAGGAAAAAAAAGCCAACTCGAAAACAAAATTAAGGACGCGTGGGTGGATCGCCGGAAATGCATTCACCGGATGTGCGTGATGCATCCCGCCAATTAATCGAAACTATATCGTCGAGCTCGTTTGGTCCACCGGCGAAGGGATGCGCGGAGCTGATGAGTGCGCGCCGGAAATCGTCACGCAGAGAAAGACTGCAAAAGTTATCGCAGCTCAATGCGTGTCAGTGTGTATTGTTGCTTACTGAAAATTTTGATGGCATTGTGACATTTTATCGTTATAAACGATGTTTACGAATTTTGAGAAGACTTATGGGTTTTGGGAAGTTAAATCATTAATATTTTCAGTGGGCTCTTACAGGCAGGTCGTTGTCTCGATTAATTCTTACAGAATCGTGTAAAAAAAAAAAACAAACGTGGTGAAAGTATATGTAGCTATAATTAAAACTTATAGTTTTATTTTTTTCATTGACTTTAAGTTACTGCATGACATTTACACATATGTATGCAGTTACTTTAGTAAAAAAAAAATGGGATTGTTTATTGGTTATTTGTCCGTTTTTTATAACTTTTTTTTCGAGTTGTTAACTTTCACTTACTCACATGTTTCGTACAAAAATATACTAGTATTAAAAATGCATAAGCCTAAGACCCATTTTTGAGCTTTGCTGTAGCACGACAACAGCATCTTTGATCAAATGCATTGTTAACAAGCATCAAGGTGTAAATAATATTTGTAATGAAAATGTAAAACTTGTGTTTGCTTTTTTTCGATTTATAAAAAATTCACAGATGCAACTTTGCCAAGGGACAAATCGGTAATTTATCATGAAAACTTGATCGAAATGAATAATAATGCTTGTACGGTAATGTATAACGTTACATAAATCTTTTTTTCCAACCGTATTACTACAGCCACTATAATTTTTCCATCGAATCACCGCGGTACCATCAGTCACGCTGCTTTGGCACTGCACGTATAGGTACGAAAACAGTCATCAATCGCAAGAAAAGCAGAAACGTCATTCGCGCTCAATTTCGAAATTTCAATTTTCTTCCTCCAGCGAAAAAAGGTAAAAAAATGAAAAATACATCTCGAAATCCTAGAAATTTAATTTCATCCAAGTTTCTCGTCTCGGCGGCGAGCGAGAGACTTTCTCTGTGTAGGTAGGGTACCTACTCGTGTGTCGCTCGGCGTTCTCCGGAGCGCCTTGAAATTTGTCGCGTCCCCGGCTCGTGCAGCACGAATTTCCGACGTGCAAAAGTTTCGCAAGAGTCAATCTGTCGTTCGCAATCATCAACGACGGTCGACGCAATTGAAAACACCAACGAGCGTGAGCCACCCGATACCGATTTTCCGCGTGCAAAAGTTGTAACAGCCATACTCACCCCCACAGCGCAGGATGGCGATCAGGAAAACGAGAAAGACCGGCGACGCGATACCGATCTCCATCTCCAAAGTTCCTCTGCCGGTCGCCGATACCTCATCGGACGGCCGATCGCCGCGATCCTTCCCCAATGACGCGTCAACTGCGATTTTCCGAGGAGGAGAAAAAAAAAATGTGCACCAAAGCCAAGTCACTGTACGTACCACGCAGTGGTACCTCCCTTATCGCTCGATCGGAATAATTGTAACACACGTCCGCGCAATCGGTTGAAGCCGCGCGTCGGTGCGGCGCACACGGGCTGCCCGCCTATCGCTCAATGCCGAGAGTCATCGGCCGGCGCGCGTGTACGTTCGGCACGACCGAGAGAGTGCATTGCACACACACGCAGGCAATTTATGTATATAGGTATACGGGCGTTAACTCGCGCGAGAGAGCCGGGCCCGGAGAAGAGGGAATTTTAGAAAGTAAAACCGTCTCCGCGCTCGCCGAATCTCTCTGCGCGTGTGTGTGATGCCGCGCGTCTCCGCTGCCGATCTTTATATACCCACCGTCTGCTCTCTCTCTCTCTCTTTCTCTCTTGGTATAATAATACGAGAGTACCTATGAGTATAACTGCGAGAGAAGGAGATGCACGACTCTCCTCCTCCCCCCCGGTTTACATGCATGCGTGTAATGTAATGTACACGTGCTGCACATATGGGCGGACCAGGACACGCGAATCCTAGATTTTCACTCGTTTTCCTTCCAAAGTTTTTCCACATTGTCTCTTCCGCCTGCGAGCACCTGATGCACAGGATTACGTTTGCGGAAAGATTGTTTCGTCATTGTTTGGTCGGATTTTCTGAAAACAGAGGGTACAATAAACACAAGCCCCATGCGAGTTACGCACTTACAGTGGGATAACATGGTCTTTAAATGACAATTTCTCGAGTTGTGAAACCATACAGCCCAATGAGTGATAAAATGACAAAAGGATTATCCGCGAAATTCTCGTGATAAGTTGTTTTGGTATTTTTCCGATGGGAGTAATAGTAGATATCACGAAATTAAAAAAGGGAGAAAAAAAAAAAAAAAAAAAAACATAATTCAGCCCGATGGGGTATACGTATAAAAGCTATCAATCACCAGCTCGATGTCGATGTTTCAAGTTCAGGTGCGCAATGAGTTGTATAGCATCGACCAAACGTCTTCGCGGTGTAATCGAAACTGTTCGATGCACATGTGTGTCAACTGATATATTACTTTCTTTTTTTTCATTTTCAAGGTTTATACGATTCTATGAAACGAAAGAGACACATGAATGCGTGTGTTGGAAAAATGAGGTCGTTTTTCGGTCAGCCGTTCCTGTTACTTCCCGAGAGACCGGTTCGGTAACGAATAAGCATAAGTGATTTTTTAAGTGGATACTTTTTTTTGAGGCGGAAATATTGTGATTATTAGGTTCTAGATTAATTTTAGGCGAGTTAGAAACTGGATTTTAACAAGGGGTTCGGAAATTTTTCGCATGCATTTAAAATTGGGTTGATTGCAATAAATAAACAATTTCATCATCATAATTTTGGGTTTTAATGAAATAAAACAAAACATTCCGAAAAGATTCACCGACGCTTTAACCGTCAATGGCCATCGGTGTTTCTTACGCTATTACATAATACACTCAAGTTGTTATTATTATAATATACATACATATTTTACATGATCAGTGATATAATAATCATCAACAAACCAGACA